GGGTGGGCAGGGGCTATATCTCCCACAGCCAACTTCTCTGCAGGACCTGCTGGAGGAGCAGGATCAGAATGTCTGCAAGGTGGTTTGGGGTACAGCAATGGTGGTTGGGGTTGAGAAGTGTCTCCACCAACCTCTGCTTTCTTTTAGATGTTGGGATGTATGTCCCCAGCAAGATCTTCCAGTCATCCCAGCAATCAGTCAAGCTGCTGGGTTCACCTGACCAGCAGGACGTGGAAGGCAAGGTGAGCTTTGTCCCTCCCAGACTGAGCACTGCTATCCTTTCAGCTGGAGCCGGAGTGTCCTTGCAGGACTGCACAAGGAAGGCTTGGTGTTTGACAAGAGGGAATATCCATGGATTAATGCCCTTGGCTCCATTTGGTGCGGGGTGCTGGTGGTGGTAACCAGCAGCATGCGTCTCCCTTCCCCCAGAGCCAAGCACTCTATGCAGAGATGAGCCTGCCCCATGATAAGGATGGCAATGTGGACTGCAAGGCACTGGTGGACCAGCTGCGCATCTGCCCCACACTGCAGGAGCAAGCAGACATCCTCTACATGCTCCACATCCTCAAGTAGGATAAGTTCCACAACCCAACGGCTCACTGAGCAGAGAGGGGGTTGGCATAGCCCAGGGGGGCTGCCACAGGCAAATTGCTGGCTATAACCCAGCATCTCCTTCACTGCAGGGGGCCCGAGTGGCACACAGGGCTTGATAGCGAGCCTGGCCCCACCGTCAAGGAGCTCCTCACTGAGCTGTATGTGCGTGTGGGGGACACGCGCCAGTGGGCCCTCATCCGCTACATCTCTGGCATCCTCAAGAAGAAGGTTGAAGCTCTGGATGAGGTAACACCTGTACAGCCAGTCTTGAGTGTGCTGAGGTCTGTCAAGGGAGGAGGCAGCAGAGTGGGCAGGTGAACTGTGGCTGCATCAACTCTGTCTCTGCATTGTGCTGAGCCCCCAAACCCTCAGCTGTTGACAATGCCTGGGGTGATGCTTTCTGTCCCTAGGCCTGCACTGACCTCCTGTCTCACCAGAAGCACTTGACAGTGGGGCTGCCTCCAGAGCCACGTGAGAAGACAATCTCTGCGTGAGTATAGCACCTCTCCCTCCCCAGGTGTGCTGGTCTGGGTCTCAATGTGAGCCTGCTGCTCTGGGATCCATGGGAAGGAGTGGCTCTGGGTGGCTGTGCCCAGCTTGTATCTCTCGTCTCGGAGCCATAGAGTGTGGGAGGATGCAGGGCTTCCTCTGCTGCCTCTCACCTGCTCTGCCATTTGTGTGCACTCCAGCCCAATCCCGTATGAGGAGCTCGTTCGCCTCATTGATGAAGCCAGTGAGAAGAACCTCAGTGTGTCCATCCTCACCCAGGTGAGGGACCAGGGTATCAGGACCGGCTGGGTGTCTGCCCTGGTGAGCAGCAGTGGGGTGATCTGCCTCTGCCCCTCCAGGAGATTATGGTGTATTTGGCCATGTACATGCGCACACAGCCTGCACTCTTTTCCGAGATGTTCCGCATCCGCATCGGGCTCATCATCCAGGTGATGGCAACAGAGCTGGCACACTCCCTGCGCTGCTCGGGTACGTGCGGTGTGGACAGCACCCCAGCTGGTATGGGTGCTGTGTTGCTTGGGGCTCCGTCAGCCAGAAGAGAGTATTGTTAAAAATGGGCAGCTCAGGCTAGGACAAAACCTTGCCTGGAAGTGCCAGGATCTGCACCTGGGCCTGTTCTTGGCCAGCACAGGCGAGTGATTGCACTCAAGTCTCCACTCCAGTATGTGTCAGGCTGACATGGGGAAGAGTCCTTGTTTTAGGCAACATCTGGAAATAGTGCAAGTCCTTGGAGGATGAGCTCCTGTGCCAGTGCTTCCCCTGCTCACAGAACGTTGTGCAGGGTAGAAATGGCCTAGGAGGAGTGTGAATTAGGGTACAAAATCCCAGTTCTGTTCTCTCCAGCTGAAGAAGCCACAGAGAACCTGATGAATCTCAGCCCATCAGACATGAAGAGCCTCCTCTACCACATCCTTTCTGGCAAGGAGTTTGGTGTGGAAAAGAGTGGTGAGTCTGTCAGCAGAGAGCATCTCTGGGCACAGCAGGGTTCTGGTGCAGAGCGTGGCCAGATCTAGGTGTTCCCACCTGTGGGGGGTGTCTCTGTCCTCCTTTATGTTTGGCACAGCTGTTTCTGCACTGCAATGATCCCGCAAGAAGGTGTGCTCTTCATAAGGATGGTGCTGAGCAATTTCCAGGGATTGAGCCTGAATCCCATGGCTATTTGGGCTTTGCTTAGTTTGGCTCTTGACCTGGTCAGGTCTGAATTGAAGCAGTATTTTGCTGCACTTAACGGATTTCTGATGTTGTTGGGATAGAGGGCAAGGGTGTGCAGAGGTACCAGTGCCTGGGCAGTGACAAGGGATGAGTGTGCTCTGAGCCATGGTGCCCACTGTAGGCCCCTCTTCCCCTCCAGTGCGTTCAGTGGACTCGTCATTCACCACTGCTGTCTCCATCCGTGGCATGGAGGCTGCTGGGACCACCAGGCCTGAGCGCAGCGGCCTCGTCAGGCTGAAAAGTGAAATCAAACAGGTGAGGGCAGGCAGTGCAGGCTGCTCTTGAGAGTATTGTGGGTGACACACAGCTACAAACCAGGCAGAATTGAAGAGTTGGATGGATCTCACAACTGCTTCCATTTTGGCTCCAGTCCTGCCCTGGGGGGAGAATTGGGGTGAATCTGTTAGTGGTTTGGGGGTTGCTCTGCAATGCAGGGGGAGCACAGGGGTGCTTGAGAATGTTGTGGGGGTGGGGAGGACCGTACAGTGTCCCAGGTGTGGCTAGTGTCTTGGTGGGCCTCTTCCAACAGCAGAACCTTCATTTACTTCTTCTCTTGCAGCAATTGGATAGACGTAGGCAGTCTCTGCCTGGGAGTAAGGTGAAGCCCTCGTGGTCCTGCAGTCTCAGCTTTTGCCCCTCATGCCATGCACCAGAGCAGCTAACCCGCATGCACAAGTCAATGAACTTCCCTCAGCTGCTACAGCAATGAGCTGGCTTCCCCTCTAGGCAGGCTCAGGGCTATTCTATTCAGGATGGGGGAAGGAGGCAGGCTCCCTGGGAAGAGGTCAGCATGGCTTAACATGCTGTGGAGGCCCAGAGATGGCACTGCCCCACAGCCTTTAGGAGCTCCCCTTGGAGTGGGACCTGCCATGTTTGGACTAGCAGGGAGGAAGGCTTTCCTAGGACATGGGTGTACTGCCATTACAGCCAGCTGAGAGCTGTATTCCAGAGCTGCTGTGACTGAACACGTTCCATTATACTCACAAAATCTGCTGAGCAGGACGTCACAATGCTTCCAGTGCCATGACCACTAGTGACCCTACTGGGCAGTTCACTGCCTGTAGCCTCCCCAGCTATTTCTTCTTGTGAAAAGAGGCTTCTGGCCAGCTACAAATACCAAGGACCTCCTATACCTGGCTTGTGTCCAGGAGTCCTGAGCTCTAGAGGGGCCCTGTCCTCAAACAGATCGGGCTTGCAGGGACCAGGCTGATGCAGCAGGCTTAGGGCCAACTTGCTGCATTGTGAAACCCAACATCGGGCAGAGGGCTGCACATGTGATGCGGAGAGTCATCTGTGGGCAGTGACCTTGCTACTGGCCCTCCTATCTGCCCGAGACTAAATCCCTGTCCATGCCAGCAGAGCAGTAGCAGCCCTGCTCCTGTGTGCAGGCCAGCACAAGCCCACTGCTGCCACAGCACCGGTATGCAGGATTCTGTGCCCTGGTACAGTCCTTCCCCTCCAATGCTAATGTGAGACTTCCGCAGCTTTCCTTTCGAAATTCCCTCTGTCTCCGGCTAACCACAGCCCTGGGATAATTACCCCACGACCTCAGCTTGAACTGTGCTGCTGCTGTTCTGCTTGCTGTGGCCACTGCCCTGCTCCATCGTGGTCTGATTTCCATTCCTCCCTTTCTTCTTCAGCCCCTCAGTTTGCAGCCTGGGGAGACCAACCTCAAGTCGTCTCTGGTAACCTGTGTTTGTTGGCTGCATGCATGTTTGTGGCTGTGGGAAGCAGCTGTGCTCTGGGGGGTGCTGTAAGGTGGATGTTTCTGGGGGCAGGGGATGGCAGCTCTGTCCTGGGAACCAGGCTGGGGGAGTCAAACCCTTGAGCAGCAGCAGGCTGTGTTCTTGTGGAGTATTTAATTTTGCATCAGTCTCTGTGGTCCTTGTTTTGTCTGCCCAGTCTGTTGGGCATGCGGAGCTGCTGAGCAAGGACTCCTTTACAAGCATGCTGGAAGACCAGGCCAGTAAGGATAGCCGGCAGGGCCAGTGGCAGCGGAGGCGGCGACTGGATGGGGCCCTCAACCGTGTCCCTGTGGGCTTCTACCAGAAGGTCTGGAAGGTCCTGCAGAAGGTAAGCTGAATGTCCGGCTGGTGCAATTCCATGCATGTGAGCCTGTGGTCCCAGGCATCAGCCTTGCTCGGGGATCTCAGATAGGGTTGGTCCCCAGTGTTGTGTAGATATGTGCTTCATGGACAAGGCCTGCATCTGGCCCTGGAAGGCTGGGGAGGACCTGGAACTGCCTTGTCATGCAGGACCTACCTCATTCTGTGCCTTGCAGTGGGTAGCTGGGTCTGCTCAGGTGCTTTATGCATTAGCCAGACAGGGGCAGGGCCAGAGCCACAGCTGAAGAAGCTCTGGGCACAGCTCATCCTCGGCATAGTGAGCCAGGGAGCAGAGCCCTGTGCAGGGGGACTCTGACTGATGCTGAACTGATGGGAAAGGAGTGATGCTGTGCAGAACCAGGAGGCAGAGCTGGGGTGCATGGGCAGCACACACCAGTGCTTGCATGGGAGCGAGTTGATGAATTGGACCTACATGTCATAGCACAGTGGTTCTCCAAGCCATAACCATGGTCTCTCTTGTTCTGCAGTGCCATGGCCTATCTGTGGAGGGCTTTGTTCTCCCCTCCTCAACAACCAGAGAGGTAGGAGGTTCATATGAAGGGGAAACCGGGCATTTGGGGTGTTGTTGGGTGCTGGTTTGCCCTGGGTGAGTGCCCAACATGACTGGTGATATGGTGCTCTAGGTACACTTCCTTCTACCTCCTCACAGATGACACCAGGGGAAATGAAGTTTGCTGTGCATGTGGAGTCTGTCCTCAACCGTGTGCCCCAGCCAGAATACAGGCAGCTGCTGGTGGAAACTATCTTAGTGCTCACCATGCTGGTGGACATGGAGGTGCACACCATTGGTGGCATCATAGCTGTGGAAAAGATTTTGCACACAGCCAACGTCCTCTTCTATGAGGAGCAGGTAGGGGCCAAGCCTTGCTTAGGGCTGCTGGCTACGTTTCCCACAGCTGCACAGGGCTCATTCACCTGGAGGGCCCTGCCTGTGGTCCCTGTTGTGTTCATGGGGCACAGCAAAGCTGTGGTGTCTTCCTCCTGTTGCTCACTATCAATGTCATACTGCAAGTACAATGGAGGATGCTTGAGGTGGAAGCTGGTGAGGGGATTGCCCATATGGCTAATGTGTTCTTTCTTCCTACCTGTCCAAAATCCAGAAAGCCCTGGGTGCTGATGACCACATGCTGGAGAGGGATCCTTCGACAGGCATCTGCAGCCTTCTGTACGACAGTGCTCCGAGCGGACGGTTTGGCACCATGACATACCTGTCCAAGTCGGTGGCCTTGTATGTGTATGACTTCCTGCCCACTGATGGCTGCTCCATGCAGTAGCTCTCGCAGCTCTTCCCTGGGTTGCAGATGCTGCAGGAGGGTTGTTTCATACAGCGTGTAAAGATGGACACTAGGTTAGTTTTCAGGGAGCCTGCATGGCTGTCTCTCCTCCCAGTCTTAGCCTCTTGGTGGGTTTAGTGGCCCTCTGAAGAGCTCCACAGGAAGCACATGTCCTAAACTGGCCTGTGGCTATGTGTGGTCTGTGGAGCAAGGGAAAGACTGAACTTTCAAGCCTGCTTGTGTTAGAAGTGTCTGCCTTAGCTCCTCCTGACCCATCACCCCCAGAGGGATCTCTGTTTGAGGGAGCTGGAAAGAGACCAGGGCTGTGTGCTCAGCACTGCACTGCTCCCTGACCAGCTCACACTCTCCCTCCATTCAGCAGGTTTGCAGTTTTTAACCTGTTCTGTGCTGTTTTTGATTCCAAATCTGCAGGATTTATACTAGTATAGGCTGGAGCTCTTGTTCTTCCAGCTGCTTTGTTAGAGGAATAGAGGATGCCTGAGCCTTTCTTCTGGCACAGCCAAAATCAAAATGGGCCAGCCCAGCCACAGCTGTGCTGCTTGGAAGTAGGTAGCCCACCATGCCCACATTGGGGGTCCTGTGTGCGGAGCTGGGGAGGTTGTAGGAGCTGGGATCCCTGTTATCACCAAGCTGTGAGGACAGGGCTTCTGGCTGGCTGGGGCACACCAGTGGCAGCCCCTCTGTGCCATCTACTCTGCCTCTGGCAGTGGTGCTAGTGGCCAAGTCGCACGTTCACGTTCGCGAGTTCTCATGTGCCTTGTGAAGCAGCTCTGAGCTGGCTGCTTGGCATTACCTGTGCAGCCACAGCCATGCCCTTAATGCTCAGCTCTGGCCTCTGCCCCAGCTCCCACGGCCTGGCACAGAGAGGAGTGGGAACACAGTGGATCCCTGCTCCACTCTGTCCTGCAGGTCAGCCCCCACGGTGGATTGTGCAGTTGGCCTGATGAGGATCAGGCACACATGCCACAAGATGGTGGTGGTATTTGGGTTCCCTGTTGCCTCCCATTGTCTCAGGAGCCCCTGGTTCACCTCCCTAAGACATCAAGTGTGCTTCGGTGTACCCAGCATGTCTCTGAGCAAGAGGCCGAGGACCCTCACCCTCTGACCTTGGCATGTCCTGCAGCTTGTCACAGACTGGCCTAATACCATCCCTGTTCCCCTCCAAGACTGATGTCACCGAGCCCTGCCAGCTCTGAGCAAAGACCCCCTTACCTTGGGGAAAGGTAGTTCCCACCTGACACCAGTGTGCCTGGGGCCATGCAGGCCATCCCGTTATTGAAAAATCCATAATCATGGCAGTGACACCAGTCACTGAGCCATGTATTGAACAGACTGGGTCCGTCTGTCTCTTCCACGGGTGCTGTGACTGCTGCTCGGCTGTCCATCAGGCTGGCTCCAGAGCCAGGCATTTTCCTGTGTGTTTTCCTGTTTTCTGATCTCCAGGTTGGTTTGGCCTTAAAGCCACGTTGCCTCCCAGGGCAGCGGCTGTTCTGTGCCTGTGATGCACTGATCGCTCCTGTGTGTGACCCTGCCCCAGGCAGATGATCCTTGAAGGGCTTAAGCCCCAGCTCAGTGTCTCTCTCTGACCCGCAGAATGTGGTGGAAGCTGCTGGGGGTCAGTGGGGCTGGCTGAGTGCATTGGGCACCTCCTGGGGAGTGTCCCCAGGAGCAGGGCAGGTACTGGGTGGGTGGGCGTGTGCAGGCCTTGTGCCTTTTTAATGACAGTTGTTATGTTTTTAGAGAAAAAACACCACCCCAAGCTGTGTGGGTGCTCCAATAAAATGTCTCTAACACAACTGAGGTCACACCTTGAATACTGTGTTCAGTTTTTGGCCTCTCACTTTAAAAAGGACGTCGAGGTGCTGCAGCATGTTCAGCAGTGGGCAACAGGCTTGTAAAAGGTCTAGAACACGTTGTATGAGGAACAGCTGAGGGAGTTGGGTTTGTTTAGCATTGAGAAGAGGCAGCTCAGGGCTGACCTCACCACTCTCTACAACTGCCTGAAAGGGGGTTATGGAGAGGTGGAGGATGGTCTCTTCTGCCATGCTTGCTGTGAGAGTACTAGAGGCTGAGAAGTACGATTCAGAGTAGATGCTGGAATTTTTTCACTGTTAGGATGGTCAGGCACTGGAATATTGCCCAGGGAGGAGTCGCCATCCCTGGAAGTGTTTAAGAGGCGTCTGGACGTGGCGCCGGAGGGTAAGGGTTAGGGGTTGGATTTGATGACCTCGGAGGTGTCTCCCAGCCCGATGACTCGGGCGCTGGCCGTGCCCGGCCGGGGCGGGACTACAGCTCCCGGCATGCCGCGGGGCG